CCTGAGTTTCTCGAGAACTAAATGCAAATGCTCTTCATGCTCTTCCTCATTCTTCGAGTATACCATTATATCATCAATGAACACCACAACAAACTTATCCAAATATTCCATGAACACCTTGTTCATCATGCTCATGAAATAGGCAGGGGCGTTAGTCAGTCCAAACGATATGACCGTATATTCATACAACCCGTACCGTGTGGTGAATGTTGTCTTTGATATGTCCTTCTCTCGTATCTTCAGCTGGTGATATCCAGATCGCAGATCGATCTTTGAAAACACATTGGCTCCTTGCAGCTGGTCAAACACATCATTGATCTTCGGCAGTGGGTATTTGTTCTTGATCGTCACCTCATTTAACGCACGATAATCAACAACCATTCTTAGAGACTTATCCTTCTTCTCGACCAAAAGCACTGGGGCTCCCCATGGTGATGAACTCCGTCGAATGTAACCTTTCTCCAATAACTCCTTGATCTATTTCTTAATCTCCTCCAGATCATTTGCAGGCATCCGATATTGTCGCTTTGATATAGACCCGGTACCTGGCAATAGCTCTATCAAAAACTCAATGTCTCGATCTGGTGGCATGCCTGGTAACTCCTCTGGAAAACATCTGGGTAATCCTTGACTACATGCACTTCCTCCTGAACAATTCCCGTGAGGGTATTCACTTGGCTACTCCTTGGCGCATGGCTAGATACATACTTGATCCTTTTTCCCTCAGGGGTGGTGAGACAAATTGACTTACTAACACAGTCAATGCTTCCTCCATACTTTGACATCTAGTCCATGCCTAATATCACATCCAATCCTTGTGACTCCAAGATTATTAGGTCGTACGGGAAAACATGGCTACCAATGGTCAAGGGTATCTGGTCGCACCATTGACTAGCCATATACTCTGCTCTAGGTGAACTTACTAATAGATGGGTTCTAAGGATTTGGGTTGGTAGTTTAAACTTATCCACAAATTCCCTTGATATGTATGAATGCGATGCACCAGTATAAAAAAGAACAAGGGCGGTAAAAGACTTAACCAAAAACTTACCAATAACTGCGTCTGGCTGCTCTTCAACCTCCTCCATGTTGAAGTGGTTCACTTGTCCTTTGTTGAATGGATTGGGCTTCTTTCCAGCGCTCTCATTGTCGTTTCCATTCTTCGCTTGAGGGCACTCCGTGGCATAGTGTCCAGTCTTCCCGCACTTGAAACAAGTAACATGGCTTAGGTCTCTCTTGGCGGGTGTGGCTGGATTGGAATGGTTCTGATTGTTGCTTGCTCCATTCCCATTCCCATACCTTGGGCCAGTATGATTATGGTTACTTCCTCCATTGTGGGTGTGGCCTCCATGATTATGAACAAGTCCTCTCATGTTCGGGGTTAGGCGAGGTTTCTGTTGAGCTCCTGAATTATTCCTTCCTTGTCCATACTTCCTCTTACGGCTCTCAATCTGCGGCTACTTCCCTTCAATCATAAGAGCCTTATCTACCAACTCCTAGTAGTTGTTGAATGTTGCCACCATCAACTGCATGCTCATCTCATCAGTCAGCCCTTCCATAAACTTCTCCTGCTTTGCGACATCTGTGGCCACATCATCAGGGGCATAGCGAGATAACTTGCTAAACTCATCCACGTACTGAGCCATAGTACGGTTCCCCTAGCGTAAGTTGCGAAAATCACGCTTCTTCATACTCATAGCTCCAGTTGAGACATGGGATGTACGGAAAGCTTGCTGAAACCGATCCCATGTAACAGTGGCTGTTGGTGTCAAAACCGGCGGATCTCGGGTTGGGGTCCCGAACTGTGCGTCTAAGGCGGATGGTAACAGGAGGCAGGGGACACAATGTTTTACCCGGGTTCGGGCCCTCTTGATGGAGGTAAAACCCTACGTCCTGCTTGATTTATTCTTGATGATATGAGTATTACAAGAGTTGATCTACCACGAGATCAGAGAGGCTAAACCCTAGAAGCTAGCCTATGGTATGATTGTATGTTGCCCTATAGACTAAAACCCTTCGGTTTATATAGACACCAGAAAGGGCTAGGGTTACACAAGGTCGATTACAAAGGAGGAGATATACATATCCGTATTTCCTAGCTTGCCTTCCACGCCAAGTAGAGTCCCATCCGGACACGAGACGAAGTCTTCAATCTTGTATCTTCATAGTCTAACAGTCCGGCCAAAGGATATAGTCTGGCTGTCCGGAGACCCCCTAATCCAGGACTCCCTCAGTAGCCCCTGAACCAGGCTTCAATGACGATGAGTCTGGCGCGCAGTATTGTCTTCGGCATTGCAAGGCGGGTTCCTCCTCCGAATACACCACGGAAGAATTTGAATACAAGGATAGTGTCCGACCCTGCAAAATAAGTTCCACATACCACCGTAGAGAGAATAATATTTCCGCAAATCTAATTTGCTGACTTGTTTCCGCAACACGACATTATGCCATGGCCCGGTAATTATTCGAACCGTTTCCTTTAACTAGCCCCGCACATAACGTGAGGCAGTTTTTTGACACGTCTTGTCAAAGCAAAGATCGTGACCCCCTTATTACGGGATTCTCATCAATACGGGTGTGGGTAACCCAACCGCGCCATCGATTACGACGCTTGGGGGATAAGCGAGTTTTACCAGGCTAGTGGGGACGCATAGTTTCGTCTGCCCATATAAAGGGATAAGGATTCACCTTTTCATCCACGCCTTCTTCCTCCTTTGCCCATCCATTTTCGCACACTCGAGCTCCAGCACCGAAGTCCGCACTTCCCACCTCAACCCTTTCCAACCATGTCCGGAGCGAGAGGCAGGTGGATGGTCTCCTCCGTCACGGAGGGACACATCAAGAAGCTGAGGAGAGCCGGATACCTGCCCGATGACATCGCGCACCGGCTCCCAGATGAGGGGCAGCTCATCCCCACCCCCAGGCCCCACGAGAGGGTAGTGTTCCTTACCCATTTCCTCCGTGGACTGGGATTCCCTCTCCACCCATTCGTCCGGGGGCTCATGTTCTACTACGGCCTGGATTTCCACGATCTGGCCCCGAACTTCATCCTCAACATCTCGGCGTTTATCGTCGTGTGCGAGGCCTTCCTCCGCATCAAGCCCCACTTCAGCTTATGGCTGAAGACCTTCAATGTCAAGCCGAAGGTAGTGAGCGGCCGCCAGGCGGAGTGCGGAGGCGCCATGTTGGGCAAGATGCCCAACGTCACATGGCTCGAGGGCTCCTTCATGGAGACCATAAAGGGGTGGCAATCGGGGTGGTTCTATATCACCGAGCCGCATGACCCTGAATGGGCAGCGATCCCCGAGTTCCGATCTGGCATCCCCACGCGGCTCACCTCCTGGCAAGAGAAGGGCCTGTCATGGGGTAGTTTGGGAGAGCTGACCGGACTCCAAACATGTATCCAAAACTTGGTGAGTAAGAAGCTCAAACTCGTCAACGTAGTCTAGGTCATGCTCATCCGCCGGATCCTCCCATGTCAACGACGGTCTTTCAACTTGTGGGAGTTCGACCCGGCCCAGCACCAAACTCTGAACAGGCTCTTCGACACAACACACGAGGATGCCTGGAAGGTGCTATTCAAGGGCTCCAAGGTCCCTCCCTCCCTCACCGAGGACCGCGGGCTAAGCGCGAAGTGCCGAGCGCATTCGGTGAGTTCTATACATCCGGTAGGATATTTTATTTCCCCTAGCTTAATTATGTGCGGGGTCTAATCTCCATGCCTTTGACATGACTGGGTGGAGACGTCGGGGCAGATTAACTGTCCAGCCTGTAACGCCCCGAGACCGATGTGCCAGGTGTCGTCCAGTTATTCGCTGTTGTTGCCAGGTCATTTGCTTGCGTGTTGCATTTCATCATGTCATCATGTGCATCGCATCATCATGTTTTCAAAACCTGCATCCGTCCGGGTTCCCCCAGTTCCCTCTATTGTCCGTTCTGAGCCCAGACACACTTGCACGCGCCCGCGGCATGTCCGAAATATTATTTTATAAGTGGCCGGAAAATGTTCTCGGAATGGAATGAGAGTTGACGTGTGGTCTTATTATAGTGTAGATAGACCGCCTGTCAAGTTTCATCGCATTCGGAGTTTGTTTGATAGCCCAACCATTAAACTATAGCGACATTATAGTTGGTCATACGTCGGACGTTTTCGGTCTCCGGAAACAGATGCTGGGCCCTCTCTCTCTTCTCCCCCTCGCAGTCTCGCCACAGCCCACCTAGTCCATCCTCCTTCCCCTCTTCGCTTCCGGAGTTATCCGATGCGACCGCACGGTCCGAAACCCTCTCTGCACAGTGCATCGAACCCCTCACGTGCGCGTCCGAAATTGTCCCGGATCCGACCCGGGCTGTCGCTACCGTTGTGTCCGGATCATCCCCAAACATCTATAAAACATCTCTGTTTTGTTAATTGGACTCCCTCGCCTATTTTTCTTGACCACCCGATTTCGATCGGAGGGTCCAACCTCAATCCTATTTTCATATATATATAAACCAACCACCTACCAAAACAGATCAACCCCTAACCCTAGGATGTCCCATCCACTCCTCCCCAATCCCGAAGCCGCCACCACCCGCTCTTCCTTGTTGTTCGGGAGTTTGTCCCATCGCCGCCAGATCCCTTCTCTATCGGGATCTTCTCTCGTTCCACCCAAATCGTAGCCCTCCACCTCTAGATCTCTCCCTAGTCTGCACCAAGCAGCACCTCCCCTGATCCCCTTGTCCACCTCCTGCAGCCATGAACGCCTGGGGGCCCAACAGCCCGAGCACCGGCCGGCAACCGAAGCTTCATCACCTGCGACCAGGACCGACCTCTTCTGCTCCCCTTCCTCCTTCCCGTTTCCTTCTCCTCCTCTCTCTCAACTCCCTCTCCATCTCTGTACCATGTACGAACAGGAGAGCACCCGACTCCATGGATGACCTCGAGTTCTTCCCCAACGCCAGCCGTCTCAACCACCTCGCGTCACCACCGGCAGTTTCCTCGCCAGAGACCCACCAGCAGGTCACCAGCATCGTGCCCCGCCATCTCCAGCCTCGTGCGTCCAAGCCCGTGGCCGCCGCCTTGCCTCGTCGCCGGAGTCCCTCGCCCGCGCCAAGCTCCTGTCGCCATCGTTCCCGGCGCCTTCAGCTCCGCCACTGGCCAAATCGAGCTGCCCCAGGGTCCCTCTGTCCCCTGCTACGTTCGATCCGGAGGATCCCGTCCGGAGCTGCCTGCGTTGGCCCGTCCCTGCCCGAGCCTCCCCTGCATCATGTTCGCGCCTCCCGCACCTAAGGCCCGAGCTCCTCCTGCGATTCCCGCCGCCGGAGCTCCTCCTTGCCCGCGCCTGGAGGACGCCGAGCTGTCGACGCTCCTCCCCAACCCTCTGCATCGCCTGGATCCGGCTGGGTCCATGCTTCCCTGCCGCCGGCGCCGCCAAGTCCCTGCATCGTCGCTGTTTTACCTGTCACTGCCTTTCTTCTTCAGAAACGAGCAGCAGTGACTCGCTCGTCCCGAGCGTTGACCGCCTTCTCTGCATCGAACCGGGCCGCCCCAACGACCGAGCTCCTCCTGCAAGGCCCAGCGCCGCCTCTATGTCGCCATCGCCATGGGCCGCCGGATCCACAAGCCTCTCCGCAAACGGGCCGAAGCCCATGGGTGAGGCCGCCCCCGTGCGCCCTTATTTTTTTCATGTTGGGCCAGCCTGCCAGTTTCGGCCCGTTCGTTTTTTTTCAGTTGGCAGCGAATTATTAATTTTCTCAGAGCATTATATATTTACAGAACGGCCCCTATTTTTTTAACTGCTAATAACTTTTGAACCATGCATCCATTTAAAACATGTCATATATGTAACATGGCTAAAATTTCATCTAGTGTAATAATTTGCAACTCTCATCTATGTTTAAAATGTTTAAACTATTGTTTGCTTGTTTTTGCATAAATGCCATGCTAAAATGATTTAATTCATAACTAAATAACCGTAGCTCCAAATTTAATAAACTTTATATGTAAATGGGGTAGAAAAATGCCTAGATTATCATGGTGGCTTTACTTTGCATGTTTAATAACTCTAAAATTGTGTTTAGGGCAGAACAGTACCAAACCTAATATATGCATATAAGGAGTTTCCGGACTTGTGGTTTGTTGTTCCGGCCTCATTTAAACTTGCCTAGATAGGTAGTTTTCTTTTGCTTCACCCTCTTGCCATGTTTAACAACATTTAATATTGTTGGGTACATAAACGAGATTGAACTAAATAATGGATGTGGTGTTCGGTCAATATGCAACCCGTTGCATATTGAGCTCCACTTAATTTGTTGTTTTGGTTGTTGCACTTTGCCTTGTCATGCATATTTAAACCGGACATGCATCATACTTGTTTGCGCATCGTGCCATGTTGTTGTAGTGGTTGTTTACTATGTTGTTTGCTTTCTTTCTGGTGTACTTCATCTCGGTAATCCAGTAACGTCATGTTGTGAGGATTCGTTCGACAACGTCCGTTTGTCTTCTTCATGGACTCGCTCTTCTTCCTTGCGGGATCTCAGGCAAGATGATCATACCCTCGAAATCACTACTATCTTTGCTTTGCTAGATGCTCGCTCTTTTGCTATGCCTATGCTGCGATACCTACCACTTGCTTCTCATGCCTCCTATATTGTTGAACCAAGCCTCTAACCCACCTTGTCCTAGCAAACCGTTGATTGGCTATGTTACCGCTTTGCTCAGCCCCTCTTATAGCGTTGTTAGTTGCAAGTGAAGATTGAAGTTTGTTCCCTATTGGAACATGGAGATGTTGTTCCTTATTGGAACATGTTTACTTGTTGGGATATCACTATATGTCTTATTTAATTAATGCATCTATATACTTGGTAAAGGGTGGAAGGCTCGGCCTTATGCCTGGTGTTTTGTTCCACTCTTGCCGCCCTAGTTTCCGTCATATCGATGTTATGTTCCCGGATTTTGCGTTCCTTACGCGGTTGGGTAATTATGGGAACCCCTTGACAGTTCGCGTTAAGTAAAGCTCTTCCAGCAATGCCCAACATTGGTTTTACCATTCGCCACCTAGCCTTTTCTTTTCCCTTGGGAGTCGCGCTCCTGAGGGTCATCATTATTTTACCCCCCCGGGCCAATGCTCCTCTGAGTGTTGGTCCAACTGAGCGATGTCCGAGGCTACCAGGGCAACTCTGGGCTGGCTTACCCGACGTCTTGCTCATCCGGTGTGCCCTGAGAACGAGATATGTGCAGCTCCTATCGGGATCTGTTGGCACATCTAGGTGGTGTTGCTGGTTTAGTTTTACCTTGTCGAAATGTCTTGTTGTACCGGGATACCGAGTCTGATCGGAATGTCTCGGGAGGAGGTCTATTCCTTCGTTGACCGTGAGAGCTTGTGATGGGCTAAGTTGGGACACCCCTACAGGGATTTGAACTTTCGAAAGCCGTGCCCGCGGTTATGGGCAGACGGGAATTTGTTAACGTCCGGTTGTAGAAAACCTGAAGTTGACCTTAATTAAAATGAATCAACCGTGTGTGTAACCATGATGGTCTCTTTCCGGCGGAGTCCGGGAAGTGAACACGGTGTTGGAGTTATGCTTGACGTAGGTTGTTCTAGGATCACTTTTTGATCATAGTTTCTTGACCGCGCTTTGCCTTCTCTTCTTGCTCTCTTTTGCGAATATGTTAGCCACCATATATGATAGTCGCTTGCTGCAGCTCCACCTCATACCTTTACCTTACCCATAATCTTAAATAGTCTTGATCGCGAGGGTGCGAGATTGTTGAGTCCCCATGACTCACAGATACTTCCAAAACCAGTTTGCAGGTGCCGATGAGTCCTTGCAGATGACGCAACCAAGCTCGGGAGGAGCTCGATGAAGATCTTGTCCTTTGTGTTTTTTCGTTCTAGTTGGTCAGTAGTGGAGCCCAGTTGGGGCCGATCGGGGACCTTTGTCGCATTTGGGGTTCTTCTTTTATTTTGGTTCCGTAGACGGACCTTGTTTGTATTTGGATGTTGTAATGCTTTATTCATGTAATTGTGTGAAGTGGCAATTGTAAGCCAACTATGTATCTCTTTCCCTTATGTATTACATGGGTTGTGTGAAGATTACCTCACTTGCGACATTGCTTTCAATGCGGTTATGCCTCTAAGTCGTGCTTCGACACGTGGGAGATATAGCCGCATCGAGGGCGTGACACGGCCCCTCTGCCCGAAGACACTGCGGATGCTCTCCTTGCGGAGATGCTGACTCCGGCCCCTTATAAGGTGCCAGAGAAGACCAAGAAGGCCAAGGGAACCCGAAAGAGTTCCCGACGCCAGGCGTCATCGGACTCATCGTCTGATAACTCTGCGACACACTCCTCCCCCGAAGACAAGGAGGAAGAAGAAGATGCTCCCCCTTTAGTTGGGGGAGACAAGAAAAGGAAGGCCGCCCCAACCGGGGGGCGAAGGGTCCAAGAAGGGAAGGACCCTCCCTTCGGACTACTCCACCACTGCCGCCGAAGGCGAAGACGAGTGGCTGCTTAGGGCCAAGCCCCTGGCGAAGTCGTAAGTATCCGGATGCCAGAGTAGTCCATAGCATACCTTTGTCGCACCGCTCCTCCTAACGCCGAATTATAATTATGCAGACCGCCACGAGCCCGTATCGACGTATCATCGGACGGCTCCTTGGGCTCGTCGGATATGGATAGCGATCCACTTCCGACTGCCACCTCCCCCTGCCCTGCGGACGATGTCGAGGTATTGTCTCAAGAGGCACCGGGTCGAGGGGAGACAGTCCCGGAGGTGCCTCAAGGCGACCTTCCGGACTCCGGGAGCAGAGGGAGCAAGGCTCCTGAGGGCTCCGAGTTCGGCCCTCAGCCAAACACCGCGCCGGAACCTCCAATGGTTTCGGACTTGGGCAGGCGGCCTCCTTCCAAAAGGGGCAAGAAGTCTGTGCCGGTGACCCCTGTCCAACCATAGGCACCGGACACTCTGCTGGGAGCGCTTCCAAGTGCATCCATCAATGAAGAGCACCACACTATTATGAGTGCGGTGATCCAGAAGGTTCAATCTGCCAAGAGTGGATTGACTGAAGCCTGTGCGAGCCTTCTAACAGGCTTTGAGGTAAGTTTTTAAAATATGGGGAAAATATTACCGCATAGACAGTAGCCCCTGATGCTCTGTTCGGTGTTCAAAAAGAAAAGCCGAACAGAGGATCAAACAATATCGCCGGAGTCTAATATAAGTATGTTAATATGCGTATGCAGGCTTCGCTGCTGGCATCTACCGCACTGACTGCGGAGGTTGCCGCACTGAAGCAGGACCTTAAAGGGTCCAAGGACGAGCTTGGCCTTGCCAAGAGGCAGCTCGAGGAGAACAAAGGTAAGTAATACCTAGTCTATGGTTATGTATGAAAAGAATGCGATTGCAAAATGACAGGATCATCGTAAATTTGCCAGGGGCCACGACCGAGGTGGCAGCCCTGAAGCAAGCACTATCCGAGGCCGAAAACAAAGTGGCCAAGGAACGCACCGAGCGGGAAAGGCAAGAGGCTCGGGTGGGCGAGGTGCAGCAAGAGATCCAAGCTCTCGTGACGAAGCACGAGGCGTTGGAGCTTGACTCGAAGACGCGAGAGTCTGAGCTTGCCGCGGCCCTTGAGAGCGCGAAGAATGCCAAGGCTGAAGCCCAAAAGGCCCTCTAGGAGATTGATGCGATGAAGAAAATAGCGGCGGGTAAGGCATTCTATATGCAAAGCAAGCATGTGAAAGTAAATTACCTATTACTTACCCAAATCCGGAGCTCTCCAGGAGCATTCGCAGATTTGCCCCGCAACGTGTCGGATGCCGCACAGTTTTACCAGGCCGAGGAGGGAAGCTCAACGGAGAAGCTGTTCTGGTCCTAGTATACCGGGGCCGAACACCCGGTGCCTATGAGCGACCAGCTGAAGCAGCTGGTCGAGCTACACAAGGCGGCCGAACAGGCCATGAAGGGCTTCATACTTCGGATGTGGCCTGGTGACGCCCTTCCCAACAGCTACTTCGGCTTGGTGAGGCGACTTATAGAAGCCTGCCCACAACTGGAAGTTATCAAGTGATCCGTCTGCATCGAGGGTGCATGCCGGGCTTTCGCCCGTGCGAAGGTACACTGGGCCAAGATTGAGACTGTGAAGCTGGTGAAGGAGGGGCCGCCGCAGGGCAAGGAGCATCGCACCCCAGAAATGTATTATGAGGGTGTCCTAAAGGGTGCCCGTCTTGTAGCGGACGAATGTACGAAAGATATAATATTCGAGTAAACGTGCTCGTGTAATCCTGTAGTTATGAAAACTTGTTCATATGCGCTATGCAACACTTGTTTGAATTTAAAATATTACCTTCTGTTTGGCTGTTTATCCAATTTGAGAGATGGCTAGTCCTCGG